TATTTTCATTTGACCATATTTCACAGCAGTACAGCAACACTGGTTCAATTACAGAGTCAAACATTTTGAGATATATTTTAATAGGGATGTTTGTTTCGGAAAATAATTGTTGCTTTAACTTGAAACATGCTTTCATAGCTCTGTTTGCGAGATCTTCCTGTGCTTTATAAAATAAAGTAATGCGCCAGCCAATGGGGAGTTCCTTGGAGCTCCTCACCCTTAACTTGAACCCTAACCTTCCAGCCTCCAATGTATCATTATACCCCTCCAAATAATTATTAGTCAAAAACGGGTACATGTATATACAATTGAAATGGAGAAGGGACAGTTACATTTGTAGGATTAGAGTTATGGGCGAGGGGGACCTAAGGAACTTTTACCGTAACCATGATGTCATAGCCGATCTTGCCCGATGTTTGATCCCAAAGTTATTTTCAATAGTTTATTAACCCGAATTATTGCGAGCCACAGGGGCTGCTGTAACATAACCCCATACTTGCCCCATAACACCTGAGGTGGGAGGGGTTGGGGTTTTCAATGACTGGCACATAAATTCAAAGCTAAACCATTTAATAGGCTCATTTTCTGTAATAACAAATTGTCCACTGATCATCTAAATCACTGGTCCATTGATAAATTCTTCTAGCTCTGAAAAGGGTGTATGCTTGGATGTATATGATGAGAAGGTTTTTTGCAAGGCCGTTGTTTGCTTACTGATCACCTATGGGATTATTTGTCCATCATTTTAACATATCAAAGACACAGTGATCAGACAGGATGTGATGTATGTAGAAATGTCCCCAGATGCTCATGCGAATAGAAGCGTTTTAGTCGGCTCCCATCTTTAGTGGAAAAAAAGATGAAAATCACAAACCTAGCATTAGTAGTTACTGTGGAATACTTTATTTTAGCTGGAATTAATTTTCACTGAAATGGCTTTTTGGACGTTTTACTTGGAATTTATTTTCACTGATTTTTGAGTATATTTGCTAGATTTTATTTTCACGGAATCATCCCTTCAGCGAAAATAGCAAAAATAAATTCCAAGCAAAAATAAAGTATTCTACAGTAAGAGAATTTTGCCTGTGATAGCACACAGCTTATGAAACAGTCACTGGTTGCTCTAGAACAGCTTTTTCATTTCATCACTGCTCAATTTCATAAGTGGTGTACATTTTGGCTACAGTCATTAAAGATTGCTGGTCTTCTTGACTATCTTGTATGTTATGTACTTATGATGATGTGTATTTATTTTAGTTTAAGTTGAGAGTTACCTATAATAACAGCCAGTACCATAGAAAACTGCTCAGGAAAATGTCATTCACTTTATCAATTTCTCTTGCATCATTCTAATATTGCTAAGAACATATTTGCTAGCAGTGATTTGTTCCAACTGGACTTTTAATCCAAACAACCCGACACTTTTGAACACAACAATTTTCAAATAAAAATCAAATTCAAAATATGAAAACGATGAGTCCTACGAGTATTCTGCATTTCAACATAGTGAATTAATATTTCAACACTCCATGGTTGAAGGCAATGTAATAAAAAACGCTGACCACGTTCCTCGAAATATTACAAGGGAGAGTGATAGCGCTTCCTGATTGGTTTATTTCATTAGTGCCCACTATAATTCACCTACTGTTGAAGCCCTCACATCTAACTTAAAAATTCTATAAAAACTAATGCAGAATTTTCACCTTTCTTTGCAGTAAACATCGTCGACCAATTGTTATGACGAAGTGGAGGATACGAAATACGGTTAATAGATTGGAAAGACAAGCTGAAAATGATAGACTAATCAGTAAACCGTTTCTTACTCAAGTAAGTACACAAAGTAACTTTTGAAATTTAACCTAATATGGAAAGACTGCCGTTTGGGCTTTTTATTTTTTATTATGTCGGTAGTTCTTTAATGTTTTTGTAACCATGAAAAATAGTTATTGTACTGATTTGTGACATAAAATAAGTTCTATGTAGTTGAAAAAATACAAGCTATGCATCAGATTTTAACTAGATTGCGGATAGTCTACAGTCTACTTTTATAATAGCAAAATGTGATATGAAGGCATTTGCTATGGAAACCCCCATCTGACTCGATTGGTTTGGTGCCCATGTAATTTTCTTCTCAGTTTAATTTAAGAAGTTTTAGTCTTTAAATTCATTGTGAAATCACCATAAAAGATATAGTGTGATATAAAAATATTTGGCTACCTTAAATATCATCACCCCCTATTATGAAATAGGGGGCGCTGTACCCTTTTTTCCAATTACAAAAAGGCCTTATTCAAAGCATTAATTATTATGGTCATTTCCCTTATCCTCAATCAGAAGTCTTTGGCATCATGAATATTAATGGGACCATTTTACCACAAGTAAACACAACTTTCTCTATTACAATATCCCACACAGGAAGAAGAGTATGGACACGCTCTAAAAAGGAAAATAATAGCAAGGGCCGAACTTCATGAAGTGCGGAAACAGACATTGCCAGAACACAAACGAATGGAAGATCATTTTGAACATTTAAATGTACACAAGAATTGGGGTCATGAGTGATGTACATTTGCATGCTGGGAAAAATGCAGTCCTGTATAGGGTTTAGATTATTAGCCAGGTTTATTTTTGCCAGTGAAACCCAGCAAAGTTAGAATGTGTTGTTTTCTCCTCCAACCAGTGAATGTTTTTCCCTTTACAGGGATTAAAATGATTATACTCTGTACAGGAATATTGTGCTGTCATGGCAACGAACGGAAGATGTGTAGGTGTGAACATTTCCATATATGGAGGGAGGACATAGATTGAATTTCCCTCTCAAATGCTAGACAAAAAATATTAATCATCTCAAATTCTTGTAATGGCAGATTGGGTAGTCCAGTATATCATTTTCCCCTCTGAGTTTTCATCCATGTCAAGTGTAAATTAATAATTTCAATAAAATTTATACAAGAAATAAATTGCTGTACCAGCATTATTTTTTTTTAACCTTTAGTAATTGCAGAAGCCATGAGAAAGGAGCTTGCAACTATATACTATTTTGTTTCAATGAGATACAAGTTGATATATTTAACTTGTAGTTATTTTAGAGCATCCATTTTACGAAGTTTAATTGAAATCCAATGAG